ACCAATGGGAGTGCTTCGTTTTCTTGTTTTTAAGATAGATTGGGAATCTAGTCTCTTTTTAGAATCCCTCATGGACAGTGTCAATCCTCATCACCAGGTAGAGGGCTGCCTGGGCATCCACCCTTCCTTCTCTTCCTCCACACTTCATAGTTGTTCTCATTCTCTACCTTTGCATGCTTCTCAATTCAGTTTTCCTGCTTCTCTTTTTCTCTCTTATCCATAAATGAGGAAGGAAGAAAAAGCAGATGTTGAGGTTCCTGACTGGCCACATTCCAGAGAAATGAGGAAATACAGATTGTTATGTAACTGGGAGAGGCCAGGGGTGTGACCTAAAGTTGAGGAAATAGAGAAAAGAATTATAAAGATAAGAGAAGGTAAAAAAGGTTAATAAAGGTTTCGTCTTAGATTACATAATTCTTTTGTAACTCACATCCAGGGCTCTCCATATTTCTAAGGCTGTGGTATCTCCCGGTAGATCCAAATTACTACAGAAGATCTAGGTCTATATTAATGTATTTAAAGGTGCTCACCTTCATCACTTTTTGTTTGTATACAGGTTCAATAGCTGATATTGCATTAGAGTGAGTCTTAAGGAAAACCTTAAGATATGAGAGGTTACTACACTAATATTTAACCTGTCTCCATCTCAATTTCCAATGTGACTTTCAGGCTTCGATAACATGGCAGACAGTTTAGATGTTCTTTATAAGCACTGATAAACAATGAAACTACTAACAGCAGGAGCAACAACAACAAAAGCTACTTTTTGTTTTTGGTTGGTAGGAAATATTGAAAATCATAAGAAACAAAAGCTACCCATAAATAGTTCACCCAGCTCATAGAAAATAACTTCTATTAACAATTTATTGTGCTTTTGACTATTTTCTCTGCAATTCTACTTCACAGTTATACTTCACTTCACTATCAGGAGTATTTTAATCTGGAACATAGTTTTGAGCCATGGGTTTCTGTCACTTTTCAGTATGTATTCTTTTTGCTGGGAAATGGAATTTGAAAAATAAACTGCAAAATCTCATTCTGAAGGACTTTTCAGTCTGACAGGTCACTGAAGTGGACGATCTGATTGTCTATCTATACTTGATCTCAAGATGAAATGGCTCTGAAGACCTCTACCACAGTACCTACCACTCTACAATAGAACTGCTCCTTTACTTAATTCTCTTTTAAACTTTAAACTCTGAAAGTAAAACTGCAGTAGTCACCATTTGGGTGAACCAGCACCCAAAGGGACTAGCATGTGACCCTACATTTAGAAAACTCCTAACATCATTTTCTGAAGATTGAATGAATAAAAGAATGAATAAGTGGCTAAATACTAAAAGTCCTTCAGAATGAGATTTTGCAGTTTATTTTTCAAATTCCATTTCCCAGCAAAAAGAATACATACTGAAAAGTGACAGAAACCCATGGCTCAAAACTATGTTCCAGATTAAAATACTCCTGATTGTGAAGTATAACTGTGAAGTAGAATTGCAGAGAAAATAGTCAAAAGCACAATAAATTGTTAATAGCAGAACATCCATATCTCAGTAAATTCTCTTTAGTATTAGGATCCATTCAGGTTAAGGAGCCCAGCAGTTAAGACTTAGATTTAGATTTATCTCTAAAGAATAGACAAAGATCCCTATTATGCTTTAATGCTAAAATTTGGCTATGCCACAAATATTCACAGAAGATTAATTTCCACAATTGTAAGTGACCCTCTGTAACATATTGGCTCTTGCTGCCTACATTTTGGAAGCACTGGCATTTCAATATTTGGCATGCCCTAGAAGCTTAGTCCTACCGCAGGGTCATTGTTGAAAAAGAACTAAAGCCATGTGAGTACCTTGCATAGGACTGAATCACTCTGGGGACCATAATGAAAGTTTATGCCCAATGGTTGAAAGACTAAGTCATAGAGCAATTGGAAAGATGTTGAAAGAGAGCAGGGAAAAAGAACAAGCAGCTGGTTTTGCTCTTAGTAAGTCTCCCTATCCTCTTCAAGTTTGACACAGATTTCATCTCATTCAAACACAAAACAGCTAATGAACTGAGACATCCTCTGGAAGCTGATGAAAGCTGTTTTCTACTCATGACAATTTATACCTGGTCATATGATATAACTGGTCATGGTTTTATAGCGGTGTTCTGTGAAAAGTGCTCTTCAAAGGCAACTCCATAACATCATGGGTTTGTTTTTGCAAAACAAGTTTAATCAACGTTAATTAAAATGTGAAGTTGAGTATATGGAGTTTGGATTCACCCTCTATGCATAGTAAGAGCAGCACTTATGAATGTCTATATACATTATTTCATTGAACTTGGAGAATTGACCTCCAGAAATATAAATATCTCATTTATGTTGAAATGGCCCTTTGCTTTAGAATCTTACATTCAGTGTATTTAGCCCCGCCCCATTACAGGAGAAAACCAATTATGTTAGTTAGGATTTATACTTTTCTTGTGAGAAACACAAAGATCATTGAACTTTCTTTCCATTACACATTCTGATCGATTTTTTTGAGTTTTTAGATCTATTTTTTTCTACCCTTTTTTCTAGTTAGCGGATATCTTCTCTCTTATAGTTTGTTTTCTTTCTACCACATAATAAATGGGCTTAAAGCTTCCCTTACAACCCAACTAGAAAACATGAAAGTTAAATAAAAATGATTTGGACACTAGGGTTATTTTCCATCTACATTTAAGTATGAGACTTTGCTGTGAGATAATTGATGAGCTATCCATAATCTCATAAGTGAGCTCTTTATTCTGCCTAAGAAAATTTCACTTAATTGAAACTTTCATCTTCTTAATTATAATAGCCAATTTCAATTCTATTCAACAGATGGGTTGAAGGCCCAGTAGACTTTTTGTTTGTTTGGTTTGATTTGTTTGTTTTTATTACTTAAGAATTGCTTCTGTATACCATAATAAGGTGATTACAAATTTTAAGCATTTATATGGAAGTCAAGGTTCACATTTTTACTTGTCCTTTTCCACCCTAAGATAAACTGATTCAACAAACATATATTGAGTAGCCCAAGTATCAGGTATACTTTTTTTTAAAAAAACTGAGTTTTCAGATAATATCATGGAGATATACTGATATAAATGATATATATTGATTTTAGAGTAGGGACCCCAGTATAACTTCAGCAATGCTGTGCTTGAAGTAGTAATGAAATCCTAGTAAAGAAATGCTAAGACTCTATGATTTTTAACTTTCTATTTTTAACACTCTTTAATCTTCTCTGGGAGCATTTCTTCTTGTCTTCTCCAGTGCTGTGTCCATTAGCTGATAAGATTTTAATGTATGGTTCTTTCCAGACGAATCTGCTTATTGGGAGCTGGTGAAGTTTTCTGAATAATAAGATTTCTCTTGTAAATACTTGGAGAATGGAGGTGAGAGAAAACTCTGAATTCCTTTCTGCATCTGTCACCTGACTCCTTCCCAAACCAGAAGCTTCTTCCAATGGATCTTGTACAGCAATGCTTTCTGGTTATCCATCAGACCTGGTGTTCTTCAGACTCTCATCTTAGGAGTGAATGAATACTCATACACCTAACAAACTGTGTGAGAAAAATGCTGTTACTTGGTCTAAGAAATCTTGAGCACCAAAAGACTTGAGTTTAAAGGTCAATTTGACTATGTGAAGAAAATGAATCACTCACTTGACTGAATCACTCTGTTCCATGATCTGAGGTGTGGTGCTAAAGAGCTTCATATATGTCCTGAGCCCTGCAATCAATAAATACATCATTCTTCTCATCAACATAGAAATGCATTTATTAAGTGTATGATTTAGAAACATTCAGAATATATAGGCTAAATATTTAAATTAATGCTTGTTAAAGTTTCATGGAACAGATGTCTATTGTTATAAAATGGGATGAGACTTGTCAGATTACTAAAGCTCTATATAGATTTAGTAGGAATGTTAAAAGTAGCTTCTCAGCAAGTACTAATTGAAAGTAATTGGCTACTTTGCTTACTTGGTCAGAAAATGTGGTGATATTAGGCTGTTTTTTAAAAAATAATAGTTTATTTTTACATTATTTTGTACCTTTTTTCATCTCAGTGTATTAGGCTGTTTTTAATGAGAAAATTGTTGGTTTGTTTGTTTGTTTGTTTTAAAGTTTCGGCTCTCTGGAATCTAGCCCATAATGTTTGAGAGTATATTCCGTTCTGTAATCAAAATCATGGATAAAGAAATCTATCTTCCTATCTGAAAAAGAACAGATGTGGGTATGTGTTCAGATCTGAGTACTATAGACAAAGACTAGACACTTATTTTAAAAAATAATCTTATGCTGTGGTGACTCTAAATTACTTTAGCTTGATATAAAAGAGCAAGAGGGTAGAAAGGAAATAAACATTCATCAAGTGCTGCTGTTATATGTCAGCCACACATATACTCAGTCTTATTGATCATCTTAAAAACTCACAGGAAACCTATAATAGGTAATGTTTCCATTTTGATCAAGGAAGAAACAAGATTAGGACTGAGATGGCAGAATTGGTCTGCTAGCCTCTGCTAGTTTGTGAAATCAGTTAGGTACAAAGTGGAAGACTTAAAAAATTAAGTAGGATTAAAGGGAATGAGCCAGCTTCTTTTTAATTTCTTTTGGTTTAGATGTAATTTCTTTTTGCAGGGAAAAAAAAGTAGAAAATGTCTATCATAGGTGGATGCTTGTATTCTATAAATCTATTGATGCAGAGGCAGTAGAGATTGGAAAGTATGCATTAGGAAATATATAAACACTGTCATAAGTTTTCTGAGCCCTACTGATTTTTTAAAGTTATATTCAAGATGGGCATCAATGTCTTATAAAAAATGTAAATTTTACTACTGTATTTACTTTGTATTTACATGGTAATGCTATTGAAAAATCTTACAGAATTATTGGGAAAGCTGTTATAAAATACAAAGACTATTGATGTTTCTGACTCTCATCCATGTCCCTAAAGTACTTTGAACTTACCTTAGTCACCGCAACCTAATAAATTCTCTACTCTCTGGTATCTTTATCAAAAGGTATGTTCCTTCCAGATAAGGACCATGTCTTATATCACAGCATCCATAATAAGCTGGGCCAGTATCTGAAACATAAGTGTTTAGTAAATGTTTATGCATAAAAATACAAAAGATTCACCTTTTTGATTATACTTTCTATATTTCCAAAATTTAGGATTCTTTCCTAAATTTCTAATCAGAGCTCTAACTGCTCAAATCTAGTTTACTAAGCAGTATGGGCCACAGTAATGATCAGATAACACACATTTTATACTGGCTCATTTTTTTAAAAAGACTCTGAGTAATAAATTCCAGGAAAGAAATGTATTATGTTTTAGGTACTATGCAGTAACTTACATTTTTGGACTAGCAGAATTGAGGTTGAATCCTCTATCAGAGATGCAACTAGAACTCACTAGATGGCTCTCTTTCCCGATGGGCAACACGCCTGTGGAGGGACAAAAAGGCAGCGTTGTACCACTGCAATCATAGTGATCATCACACCGCATCACATTGGGTACTTGGAAGGGGCATAGTTCAGTTTCTGTTTCTGTTTCTGTCATCATAATCTGCTCTTGGGATTATGCCTGTGCCTTCATTTCCTCCAAACATATACACAATATTCCAAATAGGTGCGGTCTCAAGGGATAGATTTTGAAATTGCCTTTTTACCTGGCCTGGAAGCTGGCTGGAATCGGGTAATCAATTTGAACCAGACCAAAAACGTCTATTAAAATCCTGACTTTAAGGCTGCATTCCTGGAACTCTGTTCATCATTAGGTATACCGAAGTACTTTGGGAGAGCTGATTAATCAATTCCACAGTACAGATCGAAAATATAATTAGTAAAATGTGAAGTCATTCCATAGTCATTTTCAAACTATGTGGCTCACGACTTCTCCAGCTAGTTTATTAACAGCCCATGTTTTACCGACCTCACTATTTAAGCCTTTTAGCGCTAAACCTGACACAAAACCTGGCATATGTAGACATTCAGGAAGATTTGTCCTAAGAACGAAAATCCATTTCCTAACCGCAGTTCACTGGAACTTTGAGGCTGTATCTGTGTTCTCGATACTGTTTTACCAACCCTTTCCCTCTCCAACCTCAGGGTATACAGAGTGAAAAGTTCAGCTACAAGGGATGGCAATCGTCAGCGTCTCTTCTCATTCTGGGCTCCAACTGCTTGAAAATCACTTGTTAGCCTTCCATATACGTCCCCACTTTCACCCAGGCGTCCTCGCAGCAGCAGACAGCTGGAGAAGGCCGCGTGGACCTCCGAGGAGGTTCCGAGACCAAGGGTGTGTGTGGGGTGGGGTCTGGTGGGTATTACGGCAAGGGGTCGACCAGCTGGGAAAAGTCGTAAATCCCAGCCTGCAGAGGCGGGATTGCGGCAGCAGTCGGGTGCCGTTCTCCTCCCTTAGGGACCCCGTCCGGGGCTGGATCCCGCCTCCCAGAGCCCAGGGCGGTTATGGGGAAACCCCTCGCCTAGCCGAGCAGCCTCAGCCGCAACCTCGCCCTCACTGCTTCAGCCTGCTGGGCACCCGCCTCTGACAGGCCCTGCGTCTTTTTCGCAGGCCGGATCCTCCTCGCGCCCAGCACCGAGGAAATTATGGAGGTGGTTCCCGCCCGCAGGCTAGTGGAAAAGCCCACGGTGAATGCCTCGGGGTCTCCCCCATCGTTGCGGGAAGGGGAAAGGGAGGAGGAAATTAACTTCACCGCTAGGGAGAACTACCTCGAGCCCCAACCTCGGGAGGGCTTTAGGAGGAAGGGAAGCCCAGGGGGAACCCTGGGCAATTTCCCGGGAATCCGATCGCTGAAGGAGGGTCACCCAGTCCACACACATTGGTTACTATGACAACACTACAGCCTCCAGTTGCGATGGCGGCTGCGTATCCAATCCAATTGGTTTTCTTTTTCTCCCTCTCTGGGCTCCACCCTATCCCCTCCAACAGTGCCCCAGCTTGCAGAGGGAGGGGCCGCAGAATAGAGGAGAGGGTCCTTCGCGTCACTCAGGGCGCGAGGGAGGACAGAAGTCGAGGGACTGGCGGGCGGAACTGTATAAGGAAAGGGCGGCGTTTCCGGTAGGGAAGAGTGGAGAAGTGGAAAAGGGAAAAGGGAAATTGGGTGAAGCGAAAAGACGGGGGAAGACTTTAAGTGTAACTCCCGGCTGATTTGGGCTCGATGTTCCCGGTGAGTCTGGGGTTGCCTCCTCGCGCGGGAGGAGAGGGGTGGATTGGCTGGAAGCCGCCAAGCGCCACCAGTGGCCCGCTCAGCAGCCATATAGGGGCGACACGGCTAGCAGATCCCAAGAGGGAGCGCCACAGAGAGGCGGAAATCACTCGGAGGGACCGGCGTCGCTGAAATCTCGCGAGAGGGCCCCTACTTCCTTCCTCCGCTTCGTCCTCCTCTTCCCCCCGCCCCTTTTCCTCACCCCTCCCCTTCCCCCCTCCCGGGTCGGAGTGTCCCTGCGCCCCAAGGCCCGTAGCAGCAACGAGAGCAGCTTTCCCCGCTCCCTCCCCCTCGCTTCACTCACCCCCACCCCCCCGCTGAGCGAGGAGGAGCCGGAGAGAGGAAGATGGCGGCGGCCGCCAGCACCCGCGCTGCCGCGGGGCCGCTCCGAGGAGCCTGAGGAACCCATAGAGGCTTCGCGGGAGGACGCGGCGGCGGAGGATGAGCCTGCAGAGCGCGCAGTATCTCCGGTGAGTGCTGAGGCCGGCCCCGTGCGCGGGGGAGTGGGCCTGTGGTTGGGGTTTGGAGCGACAGACACCCGGCTGGTAGGTCTGAGGTGGTGGGGGAGTTGCTGTGTCCTCTCCTTCCCGGGCTGGGAGGCGCGGGCTGCTGGGGGACCCGCGGGAGCGGGTGGAGCGGGCTCACACTTGGGTGCCTAGCCCCTCGCGGGCCTCACTTAGTTCCAGTCGGAGCCGGCTCCTCACAGTGCGGGGAAGGAGGTTAGGGAAGCGTGAGAATGTGTGTGCGCGCGCGCCGGGGGTCGCGGGCTGGCTGGCGAGGGCTGGGGGGAGGCGCCCCTCGAGGCAGTGGCGACCCGGAGTGGAAGTGGGTGTGGGTCTGATCCCGGTGGCCGTGGAAATGTGGTGTGGTGTGGGATTGGCAGGAGCGATTCGGGAGAAGGGGTGGAAGTCTGCACACCTGGGGGCTGGGGGTGGGCGAGGGAGGCCTAGAGGAAGGGGAGACCACAAGCTCAGTTTGTTCTTCACCCTCGTTTGGAAGTACTGAGGATTAATCTCAATAGTTGGTTGGCCGTGTGTGGGAGCATAAAGGGGGGGGTATGGATGAGGAAGTGAGACAAGAGGGAGGTATTATGGACGGGGTTGGGTTCCCCAGAAGAAACTGGGTTAGAATCCGTGTAGTTGGAAGATACCATTCTGAGAGTCGTGTGCATTCATTAAGAGTGGTGTAAGGAACTTGTATGTAGAAGGTAAAGTGACAACATGGGTACAGAGTAGTGAGAGTGTATTGCAACCAAGAAGAAAATTGGAACCAAGTACATGATATCGAGAGCACATTGAATGGAAAGACACGGCCTAATGTGCAGCCAAGAGGGCTATATGGAAGCGGTTGAGAGCGTGGAAGTAGAAGTAAAGGAGAGTCATAAACGGCAGAGAAGAAATAAAGTGGTTAGAACTGAGATTAATTGGAGACTTGGTACTGATTAGAAAACGGGAAGGAAAACCTTAAAACGCATTCTTTTTTATCTTTTAGGAGCAGAGGTAAGTATGTAGAATATAGAGTGACATAAGACAAGCTTATGGAAAGATGTTTTTAAAAAGTGGTTTTCACACCTTGTAGAGGAGTGAGTTGGATGGGGTAAAAGTCTGCAGTTAGCAAAAACATCGTTTTAGCAGTTCAGTGAAGTGAAAGTAGTGACATGTGAGTGGCTACATATTCAATAAGAGAAGGTTTGTTGTAAGTTATACCTGATGATCGATACTCTGTTTTGAAATAGTTTTATGACCAGAATGTGGAGAGTGATGAGACCTTTGAATTATGGTTGAATGTCTGAGTTTAAGAACGACAGTATCCACACAACATTTGTGTAATAGGGAACGTATTTGTTGGAAGGTATTTGGACTAATAGAATGGTATTTCTTTATCAAATGCCATTTTTCCCTCTTCTTTATTCCTATATTGTTTAACAGGCAGGTAAGCTCAATGAATAAAAGTGTAGCAGAGACCTTGTAGCAGAGACCTGTAATGGATGTGATGGGGGATATGGAAGCCATTAGTGCAGTTCTTAAGGAATTTACAGTTTAGTACTTACTAGGCAAATAAATTAATAACAACACAGTAAAATACGGTGAGTGTCATAAAAGATACCAAGTGTTATAAGAGTCCAAAGGCAAGAGGTTACCTCAGCAAATGGGGGAATCAGGAAAGGCTGCCTTTGTTCATTTACTCATTCATACAGTCATGATTCATCAGTAATTTTGTTGATCACCTGTAAGGCAGGCATTGTACCAGGTGCTGAGAATAGAAAAGTTAGGAACTCCACCCTCCTCTTTACAGAGTTTACAGTTTGTTAGACTTCAGGAAGAAAATGGCACTTAAAATGGACTTAAAGGATAAAACAGCATTCTGACAGGTGTTGACTGAGAAGAGGGCAATGCAAGTGAAAGAAAAATGAGTACAGATTGTGAGGTTGGGGGCTAGGGAAAATGTTCATTCCTGTTAATAAACAGGGTGTTAACAGCTGAAAGAATTTAAGAGTTTTTCAATTAGTAAGTTTGACCTTTCTTTTACAGATGAGGAAAATGAAAGTAAACTTGTTGAGGATCATATAGCTAATAAGTAGAAGCTCTGGAACTCAACTAGGTCTTCTAACTCCGAATCAGCTATACTGTATTCGTCTGTGTTCATTCCTTTCACAGCTATATTTTGGGAGCTTACTGCATTCTAGGCAATGAGGATGCAGTGGTGAACAAGAGAGTGAACATCATAAGGTATATTCTAGTGGAAGGATGCAGCCTACAATCATACAAATAAAAATACACTTATTAGACAAGTACTGAAAAAAGTAAGGTAATGATGTGCTGTTTTATATAGTCAGGATGATCGGAGAAAGTCTATTTATAGGGTGCTAGTATTTGAGAGGATCTTGGATATCATGATCTGCAAATATCATGAGTGGACAATTGGAGAGTCTGGGATAACTTAAAAGGGACTTCCATGTTCTGTGTAGTGTAAGGTTGGCATTAGGGCTAGACATAAATTGGTGGCAGTGAGATTAAAAAGGTGTGATGAAAAGCAGATTGGAGTGTGGAGGTACTGCTAATAGAAATATAATAGACACTTTGAAATTCTATTGTGTTAATATATTTTATATTTTCTAAGTCAATAATGTAGGGAAGACTTAGCCTTAAGTTATAACGTCAGTGGTAGAATGCTTGAGGTGAACTTAGTTTTACTGACGAAGGGAGAAATAAGAATAAGTACACTGTTTAGTAAACTGATGTTTTCTAGCTAAAATTTAACAAGCAGAATTGAACAGACTCAGGACCTGGAGTCCCTAAGAGGTGTCTGGGTGCCAGTTTTTCCTTAACTTTGCACATCTGTAAATAAAACAAGTTTTAGGATTAATAGTTGGGGACTGAGGAGGTAGTTGGAGAAGTGATAATGCTTTGCATCAGCCCTATTTTCATTTAATGTCCCCTGTGGGTGACTGGAGAGTGTGTTCAGGGAAGTGTTATGTTCACTTTCTTTTTCTTTGATGAAAATGTATAATTCATTTTTAGAGACAACTTGGAGAGGAAGAGGATGCTAGCTGTTACTGAGTAAGTGTGGTTAGGGTATAGCAGTTTTTTTTTTTTTGGTGACCTTGACTTCAGGAAGCATTTTGTTGTCTACCTTTGTCAGTAGTGTAAGACCATGACTGGGCAGTTTTTAAACTGCATAGCTGCAAATCTTCTCTCATGTAGATGAAAATTAGTTTTGTCTCAACTGAATTAATTTGTTAAAATAAATGAGCTAGGGTCATTGAAGTGGCGGGTGATGGCAAGCTAAGGAGCAAGATAACAGGTTTTAAAAATGTGAGAAATAAGAATAGGAGGTAAGAAGAAGCCCCAGTAACAGGGACTTCAGTATCAAGGGAACTTAATTAGCCTTAGGTAGTAGAAATAGAGCAGAGGTGCAAGGAAAAAGCCTATCCTTTATGAAAAAGGTGATTTTTGTGGGCAAGAAAAGGTGATAAAATTTGTGGTTATTAGAAGTGGTATCTTTTTTTTTTTTTTTTGGTAATAGATGGCTGAGACTTGTCCAAATAGTTGAAGTACTTATATTTTATATTAAAAAAGAAGTGATCTTAAATAATGGAAGCTCTAGACTGAATAACACTGAAATTTTTTTTTTACACAAATTGAGAAAAATTTGGTATTTTATAGACTTTGCCACTCTACTGAGTAAAAGAAAAAGGAATATTGCATATAGTTCATTTGATAGGCGTGGGAGAAAGGTGACCATAAGCTATATGAGATAGCAGGTGAAGTATATTATGCTCTAAATGAGTGTAATTTGAAAGAATAAAAACATGGAAGATAACATTCCAAAATTGGAAAAGCAGGAGTGGAAGAATTATTGAAGTACGAGACAGGGAAGACATTAAAGTTGTTTTGGAAGATAAGTAAGTAAAGTAGTCATAGCCAGAGAGAATACAGTAAAAATGTTCAAATGCCTTCACTGTGGCCTTTTATCATTAATTTCTAAATTGTAGATTTTTCCAGTGAGATCTTGGAGTTGATCTCTGGTGTTAGACACCTTTACAGGGAAAGTCTACAAACTGTCTCTTTTGTTAGAATGTTTTTTTCATGATACCTTTTGTTAGTGAAGAGACTCATTCCACTGGCGAAGTTTGTCAGCAACTTTGTTACCAGAGGTAGAAATAATATAACTGACCACTATGTTGTTTACTGAACAACAAAAAAGTAGGTCTTTCAAATACTACTTAAAATACCCAATTTGTGGGCCCTCCTGGTGGCACAAAGGATTAAAGCACCCTCCCCTGTGGTGCAGTGGGTTAAAACACAGCACTATGAAGCTGGCAGCTGCTGCTCAGTGCTAGTTCAATCCTTAGGTCAGTCCTGGGCTCCTGAAGTGACCCACAGGGTGCAGCAGACTTCTTCTATCCTGTTCTGCTCCCTGCTCTATCTCTGGTGAATCCTCTGGACTTCTGGCCTGCACCTCTGGTCCCTGCACAGGCCCCTGCACCTCTGTCCTGTACCCTTGTTCTGTATGCATAAATAAAAAAAGAATAAAATATCCAATATGTTATGAGACAAAATACATCACTGTAAATCTTGGTACATAATGCTGGAAAAAGCAATAAGCAAAACTTACTCTAGCTTGAGCAAAGAAACAGGGAAGTCAGTGGAAACATTTGGGAGGAATATGTGAATGTACTCCAAGTTCTGAAAGAATTGGTAATGCTTAGGCTGAGTATTCTGTAGCTCTAGATGCTGGAAAAAGAAGTAAAGCACATACTGGTATTTCTGTGCTCAAGAGGTCTTTCCCCTGCCCCATTTCTCCCTGCCCTCTCAGATCCAGACATGACAATTTACTAAACAAGGTAAAATTGTTTGGGGAAGAAAAAAAAGACGCTCTTGAGGCATATAAGGCTATTATTATAATATTTGTTAAAAGCATTTTACCTGCTTGAACATTGACTGGTTAAATTATTTTGGCAGTTATT